CAGTTGTTAGTATGGTTAGTTTCAGCATCAAGACATTCAGTTGTTAGTATGATTAGTTTCAGTATCAAGACATTCAGTTGTTAGTATGATTAGTTTCAGTATCAAGACGTTCAGTTGTTGGTATGGTTAGTTTCAGTATCAAGACATTCAGTTGTTAGTATGATTAGTTTCAGTATCAAGACATTCAGTTGTTAGTATGATTAGTTTCAGTATCAAGACGTTCAGTTGTTGGTACGACCACAGAAAAGATGATGAACAGTCGTGCAAAGTAATTTATGTTTTTACAACTCTTAGTTCCAAAAATAAATACTAAAATGGCACTATGTTTGATTAAACCAAAATATTGTTATACTTAAAATTTTTATTATCTTATAAACACAGTATCTGCGAATATATCTATCTAAGAGTGAAATTCCACAAGATTGTCTTCGGTTACTAATGAAGGAAATGATAAGAATCGTGGTTTTAGTTAAGCGTGCTGTTCTATTTCAACCGATAGTATTTATACTAGCAGAAATGCTTACGTTTCTGGTTACATTAAGCTTTGTTTCTCAGCTTTAATACTTACTGGAAAAAAAAATGTAATAAATTTTGCTGATATAAATAGTAATGTTTTTTTTTTCTGTTAAAAGTGGTACCGTTTATTGAAAAAATACGTTTTTTTAAAGAATTCCATTTTCTCAGTACTACATTTAAGAATTACATCAATAAAGATACAATCAAATCCTCACGTACAGTCCTAATGAAAGTCGTGTTCTTCTTGGAATTGTGTTCTATTATAAAGAAATGGTTGTTGCACATACCACAATTGTCCGAATCTTGACTACCTTAAGTGTGAAATTTCTTATGGATTTTTGTTTATGATGCCATTCAATAGATGGCGCGGGAGTTTTGGTTACATACATAGATACTGACATACGTCCATTATAGTAAGATTAGCGTTTTCTCTTATCATTTTTTTAGCATCTTTTATATTTATTTTAGTTGATGTCTACATCCAGATTCATTTAGCTATCAAAATAACACAAAACGAAACCTTTTTTTTTTACTGTAGCGTTGCACTTATATATCTTACTTTTCACGCTAGATATGGCTTTAGGCACAACCATTGGGGCCCTGGTAGGAAAGTTTGGCTGCTCGGGTGCCTTCATGGTTATGTATCAACAGGCAGCGGAACTTTATCCAACCCCTGTCAGAGCTCTGGGAATGGGAACCAGTGCCTCCATAGCCGGAATATCTCTAATTGCCACACCTTACCTTATCTATCTGGTAATTGGAGCCATTAATTAATTTTTCCTTCTGTTGACTGGAGTAAATAGTTTTAGAGATATCTGAATGGAGATTTTAAGTGTTTTAGAATTAATCGTGAGACTTTGTAATAAAAATATACGAGGGCTTCAAAACCAGCAACAACTGAAAATGAATAAAGACTGCTTACAACAACTGAGAGAAAATCAATCCGACTGATGACTTGCCCCCTCCCCCCCCCCCACCCGGAAAATGAGAAACATAATTCTTTCTTTATTCATTCAGCATATCTACATGAATTTCTTATTCAATTCATAATTTCACACTACTATGCCCCCCCCCGGAATTTCACACTACTTTGCCCCCCCCCCCAGAAAAAATTTCTGCGGACGCCCATGTCACAGTATACATAAAACATGAATCACAAAAAGGCTGTTAAAGGGGATTAAAGAAAAGAAATACTGTACTTTCTTCTCTCTCAAACAAATGATGGTGTAACTCACGAACTTCACAAGTAGATCATCTGTAAAAATCCTAAAATGATTTTAAAAAAAGCATAAAATGCAATGAAATAATGACTTCCAATTTAAAATACAACCAAACCTTACATTGCAATGTTTACAGTTTGTGTAAGTTCGATAGGGCTCAGTTAATTACCTTCTTTATTAGGCTATATCCTTTCAACACCGGGGGGTCATCCCTCGGGGAAGAGGGGGGGGGGAGGTGTGAAAACAGTATGTGACTAATAAGTAAAACCTACTAAGAACCGAATACAGTAGGAAAGACTTGCCACACGTATGAAACAGAATATTACAGCAATATAGGTAATTGTCTTTGTAAAGTATGTTTATTATTGTCACTAGGGTACATACAATCAACACATTCCTTACATTATAATTGGTGGGATTTGTCTGTTAACATCGTTCATGGCGTATTTTCTTCCTGAAACACTTCACGCTAAGTTACCACAGACCATAGAGGATGGTGAAGGATATGACAACGATAAGAAACACTGCTCGTGCTTCAGGTAAGTACTTCAATTTGTACATTTTGTTATGTTGTTGTCTTGTAATTCAATATTTAATTCAAGCTCTCTTTCTATGTGGCATACATAAAGAGTATTTGACTGCTAAATTTTATTTCCTGTTACTTTTCCTCAGATAAAAATTATGTATAATACTGGATAAACACTTGAGGGTATGTCTGTGCCATACATTTAACACAAACAGTTAAACATTGTATAAGCTAGTCACTTTACACTACCATTAAACATTGTATAAGCTAATCACATTACACTACAGTTAAACATTGTATAAGCTAGTCACTTTACCCTACCATTAAACATTGTATAAGCTAATCACATTACACTACAGTTAAACATTGTGACTAGCTTATACAATGTTTAACTGTAGTGTAAAGTGACTAGCTTATACAATGTTTAACTGTAGTGTAATGTGACTAACTTATGTGACTAGCTTATACAATGTTTAACTGTATTATAAAGTGACTAATTTATACAATGTTTAATGGTAGTGTAATGTGACTAGCTTATACAATGTTTAACTGTAGTGTAAAGTGACTAGCTTATACAATGTTTAACTGTAGTATAAAGTGACTAGCTTATACAATGTTCCACTGTAGTGTAAAGTGACTAGCTTATACAATGTTTAACTGTATTATAAAGTGACTAGCTTATACAATGTTTAACTGTATTATAAAGTGACTAGCTTATACAATGTTTAACTGTATTATAAAGTGACTAGCTTATACAATGTTTAACTGTAGTGTAACGTGACTAGCTTATACAATGTTTAACTGTAGTGTAATGTGACTAGCGCATACAATGTTTAACTGTAGTGTAAAGTGACTAGCTTATACAATGTTTAATGGTAGTGTAAAGTTTTACACTACTAGTGTAAAGTGACTAGCTTATACAATGTTCCACTGTTTAACTGGTAGTGTAATGTGACTAGCTTATACAATTAGTGTAAAGTGACTAGCTTATACAATGTTCCACTCCATTAAACATTGTATAAGCTAGTCACTTTACACTACAGTTAACCGGTCCATAACTTATCCACTTTTTTCACTCCAGTTAATCACATTTTATTCTCAAACGAAGGTGTACTGTTGCTGGATTTAATCCTATTTCCATTCAGTCGTTTAGTTTATCAGCGAGCGCCGGTAGCAGTCCCCATGTAGGGATGAGTCCGGTTGAAATTGATGGTTTGTACACGCCTGAACAACTAGAAACCCTTCATACACTTCACTAAAAGGGTGAATGCATGTATACATTACGTGGTGGAATGCAGGAATGGATAACACAGATTATCCTTCCATCTCAAGTGCTCTCTAGTTTCTGAATTTTTTTCCATCCCATCAAATTTTTTGTTACTAGCTTCTTGACAGGGGGTCCAAGCATGGTTTAAGTTTTTGTATTATTATTGTCATTTTGTACTTTGAAAATTTTCCTGATAAATACTTTTCTAAGGAAATAGCTTTTTGGGAGGGAAACTTTAAAATGTGATTGTTTTATTGTACAGCATCTTACAGATATCTTAATCATCCCCAAGCTAACGTGTGTCCAAATTGGTTATTCTACGAATAATACTGTTTGTCTTATTTACATATTAACTTTTGAAGTATGGCCATTTATTGATATTTCTGTACCGGGGTGGGTGGGGATCTTGGTTTTCTATGAGTGACTAAATAACAAGTAACGTGCATTTAGAAGCCATGTCGTTTCAAGAACTGAAGCTATCCTTGGATTGAGTTTAATTATATTTATTTCAATATTCCCGCATGGAGTGTGTAGTTTTCGTCAGTAATAATGATCTCTTTTTTTGTAGCCTGGAGAAATCTTGGAATACAGCAACAGCAGATGAAAAAATTGTCTCCGTGATTCAAAACGGAAATTTGAAACCATTGTCAACCCTTTAATGGTAGAGAATGGATCAAACTCATTTGTTCGTCTTGAAATCAGAGTTACGTATATAACAAATATACTTTCTGTCAATATACTTTCAATTGGAAAGATATGAGAACAAATAGAGCATCCTATAAAATATTTTAAGAAAATAAAAACATTTTTTTAAACAAATTTTTCCTTTTAAATATTTCCAATAGTCTCTTTAACTGCATGAAACATGTTTCTTGGTATAAGAAACGGGTACACGCAACAGAAACAAACAACTTTCAAGAACGGGCCGATCTGTTAAAATACATATCACTACCTCGCAACAACACCAACCGTATTAATGTTAAACATAAAAACGGTTAACAATGAAACACAAATTTGACTTTAATTAACAAACAAAATATTTTCCTGGTTAACTATTCGGTTAAGCTATGAAAACACAATGGACATCTTCACCCCAGAGAATCGAACCCCAACTTTTAGCGTTGTAAGTCCATAAACTTACCGCTGACCCACTGAGGATGTTAAGACCAAAAGTGGTTATCTACTGTGTTAGATTAACACGAGTGGTAAGTTTAATAGCTTGATTCGTTGTTCACTTGATTGGAAATTGGTACGGTTAGTTACATCCAAAAGAAACAATTTATTTTTGACGATCAGTCACTTATCAGTACATTTATGAATACATTTTCAGATTTTCTGGTTTAATATTCGTTCCCATGTTTGACTTGTTGCAACAAGGTTGATAACTATTTAACAGCACTGTCGCTAGTTTTCGAACATGCTATACTACCTAATAAATAGTACAGCACATATTGAAACTAGGCAACAACAGGGAAGTATTAACCAATAGGTTTTCAAGGCTTAGGCCTAGAGCGGAACAATTTGAGGGGCGCATCTTAGGGAAGAATTTTTCTAAATAAGTTTAATTTTGAAGTTTTTTATAATAAAAACAAATTTCCACCCAGTTCATTGTATTTTAATTTGTGGGTGGTCTCGTGTTGATGGATAATCTTCCTAATGAGTCAGTTGAGAAGGAAGGAGTACTCGTAAAATTGTAGGCCTAGACACCCTTGGGCAACAATAAGGTTCAAAACGGTTAAGCTGTTATAAACATGGTTTGCATGTGAAACTCTCGGATATTACGAGCATCTTTCTTCAAACTTTTCACAACTTATAAATTGTTTTTATCGAATTAAATCTAAACATTTAACGTTTCCATTTTATAGGATGTCAATTAAACCATTAGGCGTAATAATGATGGTAAAAAATCACACTAGACTGCAAATGTATTTTGTTGTTGTTTTACGTTCCATATAATTACTGTAGTAAGCAAGGTGTTTTTAGTTTATACTTTCTTCTTCTTCAGCATGGTCAGCGTTTCGTTTGCCCGTCCACGTTTCTAGCGTGAATATTGTTTTAACACTTCAACTGCGGTTGACATCATATGATACAAGCATTTTGAATGGCCCGCCGCATAAATTCGCAAATCTTTGCGCATAGGATGGTAGGCATTATTTACACAAGCCGCAAACGAAAGTTTAAAAATAGAACATTGGTCATGAAATGAGGCTAAATGCTTTTCGCTGTAATTACTTATTTTTTTCTGGATCTTTCCATTTCAGTGTCGTATGACATCTCCCGTGGAAAATACTGCTGTATAGCAAAACGCACTATGTAACCCATCTTTTATACTGAGGGATCAAGTGATACGTTGAGGACGTGTAATGACAAACGGTGACGTGATTAGCACATGCGCACTAAGAGGATTTGGTTCGAATTTCGCGCAAAGCAAACGAGGGCTACCTGGGCTAAGCGTCCCTAATTTAACAGTGAAAGACTAGAGGGAAGGCAGCTAGTCATCACCATCCACCCCAACTCTTGGGCTACTATTTTACCAACGATTACTGGGACTGACTGTCACATTATAACGCCCCCATGGCTGAAAAATTAACATGTTTGGTGGGACTGTGATTGGAACCATAGACCAGCAGATTGCGAGTCGAGCACCATAACCAGGCCTGTCTAAGAGGGATGACTATAAAATAGTGCTGTACTCTCTCACTCTGTAACAGATCTATAGATTAATATCTTAAGAAGCCTTGTTATTGTTTCGTTGTAAATAAATATAACTTTTCACTTTGTTCACAGTATGTTTAATCAAAGTCAGAGAATACATTTTCTCTCGAAACTCAAGTTATTAGCGATTAGTGAATCTGACCGGGAATACCGTAAATCTGGAAATACCGCATTAGTTCAATATAGCTTACAAATTATAAACATGTAAAATAGCATTTCAAATCAAATTGTTGTTCACTATCAGAACTCATCAGTCGGGTTGGACATGTTAGATGACAAGAATCTGTTCAAAATGTTACTTTTTTATTCAGTACTAGCTGAGGTACCCGGCGTTGCACGGTGAAAATTTAGATTTGAAATGTATAGATCAG